GATTGGCACAGAATACATACACATTTGTTTGACATTTATTGGGTAGAAGTAATGAATGCTTATATCATATGTAGGTGACTAACTTCAGGCTCTTGGCTGCAGGCCTCAACTTACTCTGTTGTCAGAGAATGTAATGAAGAAAAATTAGAGCTCCCATGACACACAAAAGATGTTTTTCTCTTGACTTTTCTGCTATATTTTCCTTCTTCTAATGAGATGAGCATTCACCAAGGAAGAAAACCCCTAGCATTCTTGTACAACACCTCAGAGACAAAAGGCACAGCATTTTTAGACTTGATGATATGTGGGCTTATTTATATGTTTTCCTATCTCTTCCAGACTAATTAAAAAACAACTCAAAACTGAGAAAGAGAAGACGTTTTCTCTTTTCTCTCCTACAGGTATTATCTATCCTCAGCCTTTCAGTTAATACATACACTGTCAGCCCTTAATTTCTTCCTCCAGCCCTCCAACATGGTCCTTACAAAAAGTGGAAGAGAAGCAGATCCACCCTCCACATTTTTGTTTCTCCTCTTTTTCCTGTATTAGTTTCCACACACTTGAAGTAACAAACAGTATTTTATTTTCTCTCATACCTGAACTGAGATCCTTATTCATAGCCCCTTCCTACTTGGCAGTCAACATTTACCCCACCGTAAAAATTACTAATTCCCTTCCATTCTCATTCTCTTTCATAATGACCATGTCTTTCACTTCCTATATTCTAATGTATTGACAATTGATGTCTTGTTGCCCCTGAAAAGAATGCTTCTCCCAGAATTCACCAGTTGCTAGAGATAGATAACAACTCCCCTACAAACATGTTTCAAATACAAACCAACCAGAGTCTACTAAAACCTTCCCCGTTTTTGAGCTCTCACATGCTGGGCCACTACCCATCTGCCCTATTCAATGTAACACTAGATACTCAACAATTAGAGACAGACAGACCCTCAACCCCAGAGCCTGTTGAGATCATTCAAATTAGCCAACCCTAAGCCAGTTGCCCCTCCCCACCTGTTCCTTCCCATGGAAATCATAGTAAAGCTCTCTCCTATCTTTCCCTTTCACACCTCCTAATCTGCCCAGCACTTCTTCATGCCCGCACCACACCCCACCTCAGGATGTGGCTCCTCCTCTTGTAACTGTAACAAACTTTTCAGGGGCAATCATCTCTAGATCTGTTGACTTCACTATGCCTCGAGTTACCTATTAATACACAATATTTTAAAGCATCCTTCAAAACCAAGTAAAGTCAATGTCTCAATCATTTGGGAAGCGACTTCGACTCTACACTCTCAGTGCTTGGTATTTTCAGTTTTATTTTAGCTAGTTTTATAAAATCTTGATTTGAAGCACTGACACTCAAGAAACATTTATTGAAGGCTCTAGGGATGGAAGGATAAACTAAACTTGCTCTCAGGCAGGCTCCTGGTGGGACAGGGACAAACAATAGTTACAAAAAGAAGAAATGAATAAATGTCTTCCCAGAGTTCACAGCTAAAGGGCATTACTTGTTGGATTCCCTTGTGTGTTCCCTTCAAAAAAAACCATTGTCAATTTTATAGGCCTTTAAAACAAACTAATTTTTCTTGTTTTCTTTCATTCTTTATATGTCAAGCTATTGAATTTTAGAATCTAAAAGATTATTCAAATTTTCCAAGTTATTATTTATCAAATTTAATTGTCTCCTTTAGAACATTTCTATAAAAATACAGATAAGCTAACCTTCAGAACAGCCTTTGTTGTTTTGGGGACAGAAAGCAGATATAACATTAATAATCAACAGTGAGCTCTGAATATATGCCAGGCTTTGTCTCAAACATAATATGAATTATTCAATCCTCATAATACATATCATCATCCTTATTTTGTAAGATGAGAAAACTGAAGCTTAAATTAAATAAGGGGAATCATTCATTAACCAAAGCTAGTAAGAAGTAGAGCCAGCATTTGAATCCAGAGTCATACCAAGCCTACTTACTTAAAACCTAATTCTAAATATGAAGTAAGAAACTATAAATTCTTAAGGTGCACTACTTAGATCCATTCTTAAAGTCCATTAAGAATTTGGGCCAATCTTCCTCCCAGGAGAATTAGTGACCATTCAAAATTCTGTTACTAAGTGTAAAATATTTGAGTGCACCCAAATCTCTCTTATAATGGTTTGTTAGAATTCCATCTATAGTTTGCTCTTCCTAGCCAGGGAATATAATAAAATGAGGTACCTTAGAGGAAAAACTCCATAACAGTTTCTTTTTAAAACTTTCCATAAAAGAGTACCAAGCTTTAACACCTTCACTTGTATATAGACTGCATCTTACAATCAGAGTGTGTGTTCTCTGTGTCTTCTTAGGCAATCCTTCCCAAAGGATTTAGTCAAAATTTATGACAATGATGTCCTGCCTTAACTTGGATTATTCTTTCCATTTCCATTAGCCTAGTCTGGACTCCATGTATGCTCCTGAGGTTGAGCTTATCATTCTTTGTAGGAAAAGAAGGACCCCACAGGCCAGGCTGCAGCTCCATAGTTCCTCTCTTAGCACATATTTGTGGGAAAGAAAATCATAGAACATAAAGTCATGTGTTAATCTCAAATCTGCTCTTTTGCTTCTCTATGTATATAACTACAGAATAATCAAATTACTATACTAGGCAAGCCAAACTCTTCTCTGGCACCTTGACTTGCAAAGTTCCCCGCAGAAACACTTTTAAAAGCTTCTCCCTTCCTCTTTTTTTTTGGTACCGAATATCGAACTCGGGTCCTTGCGCTTGCGCAGCAGGCGGCAAAACCACTGAGCTATATCCCCAGCCCTTCTTTGGTTCCTTATTTATACCTTCAGTTTCTCACATCAGAGAAACTATTTGGTATTTACACATGTGGCCTATTTGTTTCACTTAAGAGTATCGCCTCAATGTGCATCCACTTAGCTATACATGTCTCTAATTTCTCATTCTTTATGGCTGAGTAGAGAGAGTTTCATTTTATATATATATACACATACGTGTATATATGTATATATGTATACATATGTATATATGTATATATATGTATATATAAACACATAATAATGTGAAATAGGAAGAAAAGGTCCAAAGGGGAAGAGGAAGTGGGAGGGGTAAGGGAAAGGAAAGAAGGGAAAGGAATAAATATGAAAAAAGGAAAAAA